TCTCACGCTGGGCTGCCTATGAAATACTATATCTTGGAGTGGATTTCTGTTGGGACCAATTGGCATAAGAGAATAGAGATATCAGGGAAGGTCAAAAAGCCTAATAAATTTCCATTCTGTCACTTACAGAAGGTAGGGCTCTCAAGAGATGCTACTCTACCAACAGCTGGGAAGTCAACTTAAACAGTATCTATTGTCAAAATGTAAAGTCCTATATTCATTTCCACACTGTATTTCAATTATTTCAAGCCTTCACTTAATAATCTGAGTAATATTGAAGTTTGTAAATCTATCTTGTGAAGATCCCTGCACATTTACTTCCTTAACTTCTGTGACACGTAGTCACTATACCCTAATATAAGGCACTGCTGTGTCACACATTTCACAAAGACTGCCTTCTTAACTAAAGAGATCCCAAGAGGAGGAGTTTCAGGAGGCAGAGTCAGTAGAAGAATTACCACTTGCAGGCATCAAGGTACCATGGGATATGTAGTTGATGACAGTGGTGTATTTAGGTTTTGTGCTGCCCTAGGCAATACAAAAATCATCTGCCCCCATGGACACCGACCAACAACCCTGCCTCCCACCTGGGGGAGCCTTCCAATACCCCCCCCGGTGATAGAGAGAAAGACACGCATCTTTACAGCTCCAGACATCCGCAAGAACGAGAATCTGTCTCTACATACACCATCAAGCAGCCTGCAGACTTTCTCAGAACCCACCTGGTTACCTTGACTTGCATGTCCCTTCTTTCATCCCTTAATCTGGGGGGAGGTGCTTCCCCCCTAAAAAAATGCTGCCCTAGGCAAGTGCCTTGTTTGCCTTTTGGTAAATACACCCCTGGTTGTTGGCTCAGTTGGCCAGCAGACAGGCAGAACTCACAACATGTAAGGAGGTTTTCCAACTTCACTTATATTGGATTGTGAAATATAACTATTGTTTGTATTGTTAGTACAATGTTGATGTTATGAAAAGAAAATGTATGCTGTGACCGTAGATCTCCTTTCATTATATACTGCGTGATGCCTTCCATACTGTGAGTGCTGTAGAAGATCAGCTTCAATAGTTTGTCATACTCTTAGAGGGGCGATGTTTCGACTTCCGCCTATACATTAACCTTCCAATCCAATGACAAACACAGGGCCTCACCAAGGTAGCCTAGCATATACATCTGTGCAGAGTGGCACTACATGCATACATGCATACATACATGGAGGTTGAGCGGAGCAGATAATTTTGATTGGAATTCCAAAACGTCACACATTCTGCTTTCATTGAGATGGATTTACTAAAGGCAAATAGACTGTGCACTAGTTGCACTCATTTTCCCCAGAGCTTAGTAAATGTGGTAAAACTCCAAATTTCCATCATCCAATCATGTGTAAGCAAAAATGTTTTTTTTATTTTTTTATTTTCTTGCAACTGATTGGGTATCCTTTACAAAGTGAAGTTTTATCACATTACATTTACTAAGGAAAATAATGCAATTGCATTTGTGAAATGTGCAATCTATTTGCCTTTAGTAAATCATCTCCACTGAATCAGCCAAATCTACCTTAAATTTTGGTTTGAACAGAATAAACTGTTCATCACCATTCATTATCATATAAATGTCAATAGTGTCAAAATGCTGGTCCTATAGAATGTCAACATGTGCAATTTTTATTAATGGTATTGACAGAATGCTTTGTCATGCATTAAAAGAGTAATTGAAGTTTCCTAGAGTAAATGAGGTTTTCTAGTCTAACTGGTCTTTTTCTAATCTTTGGAGTTGATTTACTGAAGGCAAATAAATTGTGCACTTTGCAAATGCAGTTGCTCCAAAACCTAGTAAATGAGGTGAAAATTGCAAGTCTATTTGCCTTTAGTAAATCAACTTACCCATCTTTCTTCCATGTTGCACACACACAAAAAAAAAATCACACCATGTTTATCAGAATGGGTGAATAAAATTTTCAGAAAGTCCATGTGACTTTTGTGCAACCTGTCAAATTCAAACACAACTGTAGAATTCATGCTTGAATATTATTGGCTGCTATGAGACAATATAAAGGAAAAAAAAATGACATAAATAAATGTTATTATTTTTTCATTTTAAAGTAAGGAAGCATGATCAATCTTATTTATTAGGCTCTGTGACTTTGAACCTCCTAAGGTTTAAATTACCACAATAAAACATTACAGCTTATTCATGAAAGTATTCTTTTCTGCCAAACTCTGAGTTGACTAAATGGGAGAAGCTAGGAATTCCACTTAGACTAGACCAGTTCCTTTAGACAACATGAGCATGGAAATAATTATGGCAGATGAAATGTTCCAGACTAGGTGACACAGATTAAAGAAAATTCCTGAAATCTTTTTTTTTTGTACTTCATACCTTATTTTTTCCTGCTTCAACCTTTTTTTTTAATAAAACAGCAGTGGCTGTATCACCCTTTATTAACCCATTGACTCCTATATTTCATTGCCACTGGTTTTTTTATTTTTTTGCTAATGTATATTTTAAAAAATACCACATTTTTTATTTTTTTTTTATTTTTTTGCTTAGTTTTTGGTATAAAATGTTGCAAAAAAAAATCTTTCTTCATAATTTTAGACCAAAATGTATTCTGCTACATTTGTGGGTAAAATAACCAAAAACAGTATATATTATTTAGTCTGTGTGAAAGTTATAGAGTCTACAAAACTATGGGATAAATACCTGAAAATTGATCAGTTGAGACCCTAAAATTCCAGATATTGATGTATTGTGCTTCTTCGAAACAACCACACTGTCTTTTTCCAGAACAGCCTGTATTTCTCCTGAGGTTACCTGTGGGTTTTTCTCTGTATCCCTAAAAATTGTTCTGGTAATTGTGGCTGCAATCTTTCTTGGTCTATCTTTACTTGGTTTGGTATCAAGAGATCTCCGAACTTTCTACTTCTTAATAACTAGTACTGCCTGGTATATTCAAGGCTTTGGATATCTTTCTATATCCTTTTCCATCTTTATAAAGTTCCATTACCTGGCTACGCCGGTCTTTTGACAGTTCTTTTCTGATCTCCATGCCTGCTCAGTGCATCCACGTAAGAGCTAACAAACTCAATGACTATACACAGACACTAATTTCAATTTAAAAAGCCCCATATGTGGGAGTTTAACCTTTATTTGTCATTTTAACCTGTGTGTGTCACCTTGTGTGTCTGTACCAAGGCCAAACATTCCAGGGTATGTAAACATTTGACCAGGGCCATTTGGGTGATTATGATAAAAAGGAGATAAACAACTTTGCGATAATAAATAGCTTCATATGATCACTATCCCTAAATAAAAGAAAGTTTTTGGGACTGGTCAGTAATATTTTCAAAATCAATGCCAACATTTCATGATTTCTGCCAGGGTGTGCAAACTTTTGAGCACACCTGTATGCATTATGACTACTTGTCCCATGAGATTTGGTGATGTCACTATTGCACTATTGTTTCTGGAGAGTAAGCTGCACTGCGTGCATTTACCTGCTTTTACTTTATGCAGTCTGTGAATCTGTGCTTTTTGGTCCAAACCAATAGTTATGGGACCACCAGTTATCAGGGGCAGCTCTGAAATGAGGAGGCAAAGACTAGCACCTTTACAGAGACATAGTGCAGAACAAGTCATGGTAAGTCAATGATGGGATAAAATCAGCTATAGGGAGACAGGAGGGAAAACTTGGACGTGACTAGTCTTTTCTACTATGCTTGCCTTTTTGGGCACAGTCTCAATAGTTCAGGTCCTCTTTGAATGTAAGGATCAGCGTTAAGGTTACGCTAAGGTTGGATATCAGGGTATATGAGAGAGTAGATTCTTTTTTTTATTGTCATTGCCTGCAAAATCCCTGAAAGAAAAATTACCAATGCCAAACTCCCATTACCAACAACTAAAGTACCAACATGTGTACAGTTCATTCATGCAGGTGTGTAAGGATAGCCTTTTGTGTTATTATATATTCAGGCTATGCTTTATGTCAAAAACGTCAACAAAATAATTGTGGGTAATTCCTAATACATGGCAAATCCACTGACTGCAATCAGTGGAGTTTTATTTATAGTGGATGTTGCAATAAAAAAAAAACTTCCACTTTTTGCATAGCATAGGAAAATAATGTATCCTCTAGGTGGTTTATTATCTAGTATATTTTCTTTAAAATTTATTTTATTTTGTTGTAAAAAGAGGTACAAATACAGTGTACAGGCAGATGTCCAAAAGCTGGGTAATCAAAGTACCAACAAAATATCAATCATATCAAGGCAAACCAAACAACAAAATATCATCAGTAACATATGGTCAGTAATGCAAGACAATGATAGGAGCAGTGGACACAGGGCCAATATAGCAAAATGGCTGTGGTATCTAACATGGCATTATTTGTTATGGAACTTAGCTTCCAAAAAGAAAAGGGATGAGAAAGAAAGAGAGAGAAAGAAAAGAAGAATGATTCCTTCCCCGAAAGGGGGGGAAAGGAAGGAAGGGAGGAGGGGAGGGTTAGGAGGAGGTAAGGGAGAGGGGGATAAGGAGGTAAAGGAGGGTGGAGCAGGAGTGTGATGCAGGGGGTATCCAGTCCACTAGTAGGCCTCTTACACAGCTTCCAGGCTCGCCAAGAAAATCTTGTGCGTCGATGTGTGAGCCATGGGCTCCAAATGTTTAGGAATTTGACATGAGTGTTAGTAAGAATACTGGTCAGTTGATCATTAATAAAGGTAAGATTCAACTTCTGAGAAATGGATACATTGCCTCTTCCATGCTTTAGTGATTGTGAGCTTAGCAGCTAGCAGGACAGAATGAACCAACTTAAATTGGTGTTTGGTAATGCAGGAGGGCAAGCCAAGGGTCCTTAGTGAGTGGCATTCCTAGAGGAGTACACAATAGGGCAGACTCTGGACCAAAAACAACCCAACATATACTATCTATATAGGCAGATTTAGGTCAGTGGGAGTGCCATATGAAAGAAATGATATGGTTTTGAAAGGATCTAAGTGTGAAGGAGGGGTATGGGCAGGGGCGGACTGACAACTCATGGGGCCCCCGGGCAATAGGGGATCATGGGGCCCCTGTGTCCTTGCCCAAACTCAAAAAAGCCTATGAAAAAGGTACCAGGGGCATCTCATGGGGGCCCCCCCCTACTGACCCCGGGCCCTCGGGAAGTGCCCGAGTTTCCAAATGGTCAGTCCACCCTTGGGTATAGGAAAAGGAGGTGTGTGAAATAAAGACAAGATTTTTGTAAGAATGGTCATTTTGACCACAGTGATCTTACCCATCCATGAGATAGGGTAAGCAGACCAGGGTGAGATTAGGTGTTTAAGGGAGTGGACAAGCGGAAGATAGTAGGCATGATATAAATCTGGGTAAGAGGGGTGAGGCAGATACTTAAATAATTAAGCTGTTTAGAGGCCCAGGTAAATTTAAATTATGCTTTTTGTACAGTAAGTGTGAAGTCTGGCAAGGAGATACAGTATTTAAAGTTACAGACATGTCTTCTAACAGGGTTAAAAATCTGTGAGAATGACCTGAAGACGAAAAGCAGATTTGGTAGGAAGATTATAGGTTGGGTCAGGGTCAGTAAAAAGTCATTGGCGAATAGGCTTATAAATGTGGTGACTGGATGAGATCCCATGAATATTTGGGTTCTCTCTGATGAGGAGTGCCAGAGGTTCTAGGGTTAAAACAAAGATGAGTGGGGAAAGAGGGCATCTCTGCCGGGCACTCTGTTCAATTGGCAATGAAGAAGAGTAATGGTTAAGGTATTTTATTGCAGCTGATGGGTGGGAAAAACGGGATTTTAGCCAAGAGATAAAGTGTTGCCCAAGCCCCAGCGTTTCAATAAGTAATGCCTTTATTGTGGTATAGAATGTGTACTAGATGGATAACTTTTTGAGTATTGTCAGCTGCTTCCCTTTTAGGGATAAAGCCCACCTGGTTCTTTTGGATAAATGTGGAAAGGACAGAGTTTAATCTGGAGGCCAATACCTTTGCCACAAAACATAATGTCCATATTAAAGAGGGATATTGGATGGCAATTATGGGGATCTTGGTGGTCTTTATCAGGTTTGGGCAGAATAGCTATGTGGGCTTGTAGGGAGGCTGCATGAAGATCATGATGAGATTTCAGGTGATTAAAGAAATTGGCGATGTGGGGGGCGAGAATGTCTGCATAAGTTTTGTAATATAGGGTGGAAAAGTCATCCGGACAAGGGCTTTAGATGGTCTGAGAGATTTAAACGCTGAAAGAAGTTATTGTGATATCTGAATCCATTTTATCTCTCATTGCCTGTGAAAGTGTAGGAAGAGAGATTTCTGATAGCAGCTGGTAGGCAAGAGAAGGGGAAAAGGGTGGTGGCTTTTTATACAGATCAAAAAGTATAGAACGAAAGCGATAGACAATGGAACTGGGTTAGCTGCTATGGTGCCATTGTGGAGTCGCAATATATTAAGGGGGGATCTTGCAAATCTAGTATCTATCTAGTATATTTACTTATAGCAGTCCTTAAGTAAGGATGAGGATTGGATGGCAAAATAGATATGAGATAAAGGAAAATATTTATTAATGGTACTTACATAGCACTGTCAATTTACGCGTCACTTTACATATTTATTGCACATTCATATCAGTCCCTGCCCTCAAGGAGCATACAATCTAAGGTTTCTAACTCATATTCATACATACACATACTAGAGCCAAGTTAGATGGGATCCAAATAATCTACCAGCATGTCTTTGGAGTGTAGGAGGAAACCAGAGTAACTGGAGGAAACCCATGCATCAACAGGAGGAACATGCAAACTCCAGGCAGGTGGTGCCATGGTTGGGATTCAAACCAACAACCCTAGTGCTGCTGGGTGGATGTGCTAACCACTTAGCCACTGTGCTTTAGATAATAAATAGTTTCCTATTTCCCATTAAAACTGAACTCCAGTCAAAAAAACTAAATGGACAATTTAAATACGAATATACAATATGTGGATTTTTATTATCTTCTTTAGCTCTTATTGTGATTAAAACGTTTAACTAGAAAAAGAAAATCCCTACAGGTATAGTCAAATGACAGATGGATCCTGGAGATGGCTGATATCAAGTCAGATTACAATAATTATGCTAGTTTTATGTAAAAATATCAAATGATAATTTACTGAATACATAACTGTATTAAAAGTGTTTATATCAGAATGCAGCTTTAAGCAAAATAAAGAAATAAATTCACGTATTACATTTACATATTTTGTTTTCAATATAAGACTTGCCATGCATTTTTTCAATTTCCTCCATGTGATGCACATACATGCACTGAACTACACAGCACAGCTGGGGAAACTGTTAGGCATGTCAAACATTAACATCTGCAAAAGTCCACCACAGGAGGACAGTATTACATAGAAACCATACTGTACTTGTATATTTTAGCAACTTTTGTTAGTAAATAAACTCATTCCGTTTAGTAAATGTGTCATTGTATTGTTTGACTTTGTTGGGTAATGTACTGTGAAACTTCTCTGCAGTAAATCACTGTCCTAGTTTGAAAATGCATGGGCGTGAGATGCTTTGCAGTACTCATATATTAGGTGCTTTCAGAATAATAATACAATCTGACACATGGTTGGAATTTGATTATTTTAATATACAGTTGAAGAAATTCCTTAGAAAAGATATTTGTTACTCCTGACATTAAAAACCCCAATGTAGTGGTTTACTAAAGAGTAACGTTTTCACTGGCCTATTTAAGCTGTATAAAAACAACTCTATAATACCTCAAAGAACTCATAAGAGGACCATTGCTTTAACATAATGCTTACAGCTTTTAAAAGATCTTTAAAGCTAAATAAGCAAACAAATGCATACATCTAAGCTGTTTTATGTGCCAAAGGATTTGTATGTTGCTCCTGGTCCTAAATTGGGGATACTATACAACTTTTTTTGGCTGGGCTGAGGTTAGCTCAGACTGATGTTACCGTTTCTTTATTTGGCTTCCCCTTAATCTCAGTTGGGTTGTACATTTCTCACTGTCACCAGTATGTGGCACAGGTCATGTGTGAGATTGCACAAATACACTGAATTATAAATATTCATATTTCAGTAGGAGGTTTATGGCCATTGGTGCATTCTGGGAGAGGATATACATAGTTGGTGTCTGGCCATGGGCTGGCTCTCTTGCCTCAGGCCTGTGCTAGGCCCAGAAGCTTGTCTGGGTCTACCTGCTTCAAAGTGGTTCTGAGGATGTCCTACTCAGCATGGAGGAAGCCGAGCCAAGGTGAGAAGATCCAGGGAATGCCCTTGCCGGAGAGAGCCAGGATGAAGGCTGGTCTTTCATAAGGGCTGGGTGACTTGCTTGGAGGGCGCACTAGACTCTGAAAATGTGCTTGCAGTATTGTCCACTCAGCTTAAAGGTTCTGACACTGTGAAGCTGGTCTTTGTTCTGGAATCCAAGGAGTCTGTAAGGGATCTGTGTAGCATCTGAAACACCTAGCCCTCTCCTTCTGCTTCCTTTCAAGTTCATCATTAAAGCTTTGAAAAAGACTTAAAGGGACGGACACCCAATTTCTGTTCTAATATCCCCTTTTCAGCCCTGGGGTAATTGCTAGCTCACTTCTTGCCCTGTGAAGGTACTATGCTGTCTTCAGGGGATTCAGGGGGTCACTACATGCATTTCTATCCATCCAGTCCTGAGAGCTTCACATCTCTGTCCCACAGTACAGCTGTCTATCAGGGGAGGGGACCTAATCATTCTCTGATGCAGTTTCACTTTCACTTACATATTCACTCCCTATCCCCACCTTGTAGCTAAACAGTAAAAGGAAAAGCACACAGATGTGTCTCTGTCCCCCTGCTGACTCCTCCTGTTTGCTCCTTGCATTGCAGTACACATGATTGTCTCCTTGTAACGATTTTGTCTCAGTTTCTGAACTTTGCTCTAAAGATTTTACAGTGGATGGTAAGAGACTGATATCAACTCAAAATGAGTTGTTAAATTGCTCGCAATTACCATTTGCGGGTACTAGGTGTGCCACATATGCTTCAAAAAACCTCATTGATGTAGATAGGGTGTGCGTAGTATGCCCTGTCCTTCTGCTTACTGTTGCTTCCCCTTTGCACTTGTCAGGATGACAGCAGGAAGTTGCTGTACAAATTCACCTGCTGTAGATGTTGCCGCTGTCAAAAAATGGTCCATTTAAAAATAGTGTTTATAAGAACTGTTCAGAATGAGATAGAGCGGGGTCTCAAATGTTTCAAACAAAGGGCCAGTTTACTGTCCTTCAGACTTTGGGGGGGGGGGGGGGCGAAACATGACCAGTGGGAGTTGGAAATGTCCTGGCATCAGTGGGAGCAATAATGTCCCATCTTTGGTATTAGGGGATTTGTTACTGCACTATTCATTTCAGTGGGAGAAATAGTTCATCATCATTGGGGTCACTGGGAGAAATAGTGCCCCATCATTGGTATCAGTGAAAGGAATAGTGCCCTATCATTGGTGTCAGTGGGAGGAAAAGTCACCCATCATTGTTATCCGTGTGAAGAACAGCGCTCCATCGTTGGTGTCAGTGGGAGGAATAGTTCCCCAAGGGCCAGATAAAGGTAAGCAAAGGGCCTCATTCAGTCCCTGGGCCGCAGTTTGGAGACCACTCCATTTTTTTAAGTAACTCATATTGTTTCATCACAATCGTTATGTTAGAATGATTTGTTATTTCGGTAGAGTGTATATATATTCATTGTTCCAAATCAACTGGTATTTTCAGAAGTTCTGTTATTCTTTTGTTATTGTGGAATATTATCTATATTCCTGCTAGTCCAAGCCACAAAGAGAAATGGAATGAGCTGATTGGACGTTATCGACTGGAGTCTCATGCACCGGAAAGTTACAAATGGAGCAAAATTAATTTCAGATTCATTTGTTATGTTATGATTTAGAGATTTTGATGGATCCACCTCCATCCAACCCAAACAAAATAAGTAGGAACCATCTTATTTAATTTTTATACCTTACTGCATTTACTGCAATATGTTTCCATTTCATAGGCAGTAATTGTTTTTATAATAATGAAAAATGTTAAAAGAGAATCAACTGATTGTCCCATGAGTCAAAGACTACCACGCCACGCCTATCTAAATAAAACAAATGAATCTGATTTAATATGTATTCATTCATTATGTTCATAAGTTGAATGCATTTCCCCATTCCCAACTGACTGTTTGTTGGGCTGCACACATGCAA